CCCACACAGACAGAGGACACTGGGCCGCGTGTGAGAACACCATACCATGAGACCTTTTATTAGAACAGAGACGTGTCATACAGGCTGAAACATCGGAAACCCCGGGAAGGTTATGCTTAGCTGTGGACACCAGATATCTAACAAGCCATAGCTGCTGTGTCACTGGGGAGAGGACAGGGTCCCAGGACGCTGGAGGACACAGGAGCTTCTCCCCTCTGATGTGGGCTTTCCGGGCAGAGGCTGGCTACTCAGGCTGAGCTGGGCTGGTGGTGGGTCCCCTGGTCTGGGGCTTTCCAGTTGGAAGTTCCAGCCCCCGACATGGAGAAATGGCCTTAGGGTGCACCAAGACCCCTGGGCTGATGAGGAGAATTCTGCTAGGTCCTTGGCTGCCAATGACTGCTTGAGGCAACAGCTGAGAATTGGGACAGAAAAGACACAGCACAAAGAGAAGTCCTCACAGCACAGGCCCGGCAACAAAGACCTACCAAGAGAGTGTGGGGCATGGAGTCAGGCAGATCTGAGCTCAAGGGAGCTTGGGCACATCAGTTCCCCCTTCTCGGGCCTCAGTATTCTCATCTGAAAAATAGCAACATGACTATGTCTCTGGCTTGTTTGAACAATTGCACAAAATATGGCCTGACACAATGAACAGTGGTCAAATTTAGAGCACAGCAAAGCCATTCTGGTCTCTCCTTTGATGCCTGGACTGCTGGGCTTAGAGAGAAGTTCAAGGGAAATACAGAGGGCTTTAACCCAGGCCACAAGAATGATCAGGCGGCAGCACCTGGAGGCCCCCCCATAGCTGACTGCAGGACTTGGCTACTGTAGCCTCATCCTGCAAATGAAATCCATGCCCTGTTTTCTATTTCCTTCCTTGGGAGACATCCATCAACCTACAGTCAGCAGAAGACACAAGGGACCATATAGCTGACAGTCTGGAGCTCACAGCATCCGAGTTAGAGCCCCCTCCCCGCAACCTGCCAAGGACATTTAGGCCAGATCCCATTTTACAGATGATAAGACTGAGGCCTGAGACCCACTCCATTTCATCCAGACACACATACACAGGCAAGAGAACCACCAAGGAAACTGTTCCAGTCTCTTTGGCTCGGCTCATTAGAAGATGAGGCATAGCCTTTCTGGGCCAGAGAAAACGAATGACAATTTTCTTGCTCTCTCTCTCTTCTTTTTTCCAAGGAGTTGTGACTTTTTAATAGAAGTTGGTTCGTGCGCAGGCATTTTATTCCTCAATTAATTTCCATCTAAATGAGGTTTTCCCGGAGATAACCAGTGTTTTAGTTCCATTTGAGCTTAATTTGTATGACTGAAGCCTCCATTTCTGCCAATTCCAATTTGCGCGGTGATTCCAGCGGCTCATTACCTGGGCGATAACGCCCCTGATGCAGACAGCCACACCTGGAGCTGGGAGACGGGGCAATTTCCAAGAGCAATTCAGGGGAAGAGGTGGTCCCTCTCCTCTCCCAATACCACTTGATAAATAGGAAATAAATTATTAAATAAGCCGTGTTCTGATGAGGGGCCCTCACCATGGTATTTACAATGCAAATCAACAACCACCAAAAAAAAAACACAAACAAACCCCAAACAGCAGCCACAGACAGAGGGGAGACATCTCCATCAGTATCATTGGCTCCTGGGTGCGCAAGTGAGAAGAGGTTGCAATAGAGCATTGCTGGATGACACTGTATCCAGCTTAAGTTCCTCAGCTGGAATTAGTTGGCCAAGGGAGAAGGGGGTGTGTTTTGAGGAATCCTGGTGTTTTTTTTTTTTTTTTTTAATCAGACAAACTGTTCTAGTCAACTGGAGAGGAAAGCAAGGCAAGACATGCACGTGAGAGTACTTTGGACATTCATGGAAAAGAATATGGAAGATGAAAGTGAGACTTGAGAACAAAAAATGTACTTTCAAACCTTTGGGAGCATCCTGAATTTTGGCCTCTTTAACCAAAGCCTTTTGGGAGAGAGGATGGGTCAGAGTAAATGAAGTGATGGGGCTCTCTGAGACTGAGACGCTTGTCTTTCAAACATCTTCATTTTGTTTTGCTTCTGAAAGACTGCCTTTCCTTCAAAGAAGGGAAGCAACAGAGATAGGAATGCAGTCAAACCTGGATGAACTAGATTGTGCCTGGGTGGGGGCTTTGAATTAGCTTTTCTTAATTAACAGGAGGGAATTCACATATTGCTTTTAGGTTTTACTCTCACGATTGAGAACCTCGTAAAATGTTCGAGGATGTTTTCTTTTTTGCTCTAAGTCTCTGTCTTGGAAGAATTGCCCAGGCCTCAGGTCAGTATTTTGAATTGTGTCTCAACAATTCCTCTACTTCTCAAAGGTGGAAACTTTGGCCCAGAAAAAGGGAGCAATTTGTCCAGGTTCACTCATCCGGTGAACATCCATAACAGGAAGGTCGGAGGGCTTGGGCTGCATCAGTTGCTTGACCTCAAGCCACATCCTCTTCCCATTTCAGATGCTGGTTTTTAAGATAAGTCCTCACCAGGAGCAGGTTTCAGGTGGTCTGTCTCATTTTCTGAAAGCAGAGGGTAATGAAGGTGAAGAAGGCAGGGGAACAGCAATGCCAGGAATTGGGAGGTTCTGGTTAGCATGGTTACCAAGTGCCCTAACAAGAGGTTTATTTTTGGATGGAAAAAAAGGAAATTAAAGAAACACAGCACGTGAGAGGGAGAGAGAGATTTTCCCCCAGGAAGCAATTTAACCAGCCCTCTTGCAAACTTCCCCAGGCTAGGGGTACTGCCGTGCTTGGGTTGGGGCAGAGGAAAGTCATATTGCCAGGGAAACAACCAGAGATGTTGCAAAAGTCCCACCAAACCCCAAGATGGACCAGGCAAGCTGGGCATTTCAATAGTGACTTTAGAAAGGGTGGGAGCCCTCTCTGGCCAGCAGTCAGGAGACGCTGCTAGTGGGTCAGAGAGCCAGGACTGGTTAAGGCCTCCAGATCCTGGTTCCCAGGATGGGCTCTGAAATGACCTTCCTGGGGGAAATTCTGGCTGCTCCTTTCATCTTTTTTTTTTTTTTTCTTCTAATTTTAGAAATAGCTCTGTGCTCTCTCCTGACAGAACAGCAAGAGATCGCAGAAGAAGGCTTTGCTCTGGGTTTGTGTGTCTCTCCCAGCAGAGCTGATCCCTAGTCACAAGGCAGTGTGTGTCTACCGCAGAAGGAACAGAGCAGCTTGGAAATCTCAGGGGATGGGGAGAAATTAGCTACAGTGGAGTCAGAAGCATGTGTAACTTACACGAAACCAACTTGGTATGCTCAGAAAAGCCAGAGAGTGATCTCCTCGGCTCATATACGCCCTGGAGTAAGGGTGAGATCAAGATGGGCCTATGCTCTTCCCTCCACCAGCTTGATTCTTGCCTTACTCTCACAGTGTGAGCACTTCATCAGCTCCAAGTGCCATCCCCTTAAACCAGACGTCGTTTTCAACCACCATGGCCTCCCAAACACAAGGCAGATACTTCAATAAGTACTAACAGAAGTCTCATCACTTGGCCAAGAGATCCGCATCTGCCTCCCATCAGGTGTCTCCCTAATGCATTTTCATGGGCAATTTCAACTCTGTGCAGGTTTTGCCCAACATGCCAACTTTAGACTCCAACCCCAACGTGAGCTGACTCCATCCACTGTGTCAATTCAGCGCCTCCGCTCATAAGCCTCTTAGCTGTTTGCACCTTCCTGATACCTCAGTGAGGTAGTTGGTGGGTAGGGGGCTGGGGCGCAGGCCTGAACCTCACCGACGTCTGGATGAACGTGCTTCCAGGCCAACTCCAGAATGTTCCAGACTTGGAGCTCTGCGAGTCTCGCCTTCGGGGAAAAGGCCAACATCCCTACCCACATCCGGCCTCCGGAATCCCACCCATAGAGACACGATGAAAAAAAAGAGAGATGCGCAAAAATAATTTAGAAGTCCCCCCCTTCCCATACACACATACAAACACACACACACAACCTCTCCGTGTAAATAAATAAATAGCTGAATACTGCTCATGGCAACCGCATGCGGTTGAGAGAGACAGAGAGAGGTCACATAAATAAATAAATAAACATAAATAAATAAAATAAATAAAAGGTTCGTTAGGAGCCCCAGGCAAAATGGTCCCCTAGAGTTGCTTGAATGAAAGCAGCCTGAACGGGAGGCTCCTGGGCCTCCCACCGCCGTCCTGCTAAGGAGGTTCGTAGCTCCGGAGGTTCCGTGGCTCCGGAAGACCTTTGTCTCCGTGAAGGGAGACTGAGTCCAGTCTGGGTTCCTGGGTGGGGAAGAGGGTTATTTACAGTTGCTGTACATGCCCTCCCAGGGCACCTGCCCCTGTCCCAGGCACCTGCCATCAGTCCTTCTGCGGTGACAGCACTGGCATCCATCAGTCTTGGTGGGCGAGGCCTAGGTCGGGGCCAGAGGGCATCATGGGAAGGCCGGGTCCTCCACTGCGTGCTGCCTGGGGCTGCCCGGCTCTGCTCTCCTGATGGAGGAAGGACTTTCGGGGTGGTTGTAGGGCAGTTTCTGGCCCCACGGGCTGATGTGATGGGGAAGATTGGGGAGGGGGTCACTGCTTCTAAGAGAAAGGATTTTTTCTAAATGTTTTCCCTGGGGTGTGAGGGATAAAGAATGCTTGGTCCCTGCTTCCCCGTAGCCTCAGCTGGCAACCTTCCCCTCTGGCTCTCTCCCTCCATGCCCTGTGCTGCTGCCGTTGCCACCACAAACTTTGAAACTCACCCTCAAGGCTCCGGAAAGCCAGTCAGCTGGCGAGGGGGATGCCCAAGAGTTTATTTTAAGGTTCTTCTCCCTAATGCCCCTGTTCGCAGTGCCTTCTGTGGACGAAGCAGCTGGTGATATTTGTGTTGGAGATCAACTTACTCTCGCCGCCCAGCCCTGGGCAGGGGGAAGGGGGGGTGAGGGCAGAAATGAAGGTGGGCCTTTCCCCAGCTGACAGGAAACCACAGAAGCCGGTGGGGGCCCAAGCCGTGGAGCATCCCAGCCCCTCTCCCCGCAGACTCTCTAGATTTGGGTCCTTCCCCCAAACCTGAGTTGCCGTGCCCCATCCTGGCAAAATTCCTGAGAGGCAAAGGGGCTGGCTAGGCTGAGGGTGGGTGGGTGGGTGCGGGAGCAGCTGTGCTGGGTAGGATCCAGGGTGTGGCAGTCTGGGCAGTGGGGAGGGGGCAGGCAGGCGCCAACCAGAGGGTAAGGCCAGACTGGCTGGCGCTGGGGACTGGCAGCTGGCCATGGCACTGGGGAATGTTCAGCAGATGGTCCTGTGGAATTAAGTTGGTGCCAGCTAGTGGAGCTGAGGCAAATTTGGGAAGTGGGACTCTAGACCAAACTGTCCCAAGTGTCTACTGTGTCCTTTCTCAGTGAGGTTGCAGGGTCCCTGTGAACAGCCAAGAGGCATTTTGTGTAAACCGTGTGGTGGCCCCTCCGTTGCTGGAACCTACTGGGCTCCTTTCCCTGACCATGCTGAGATACTGGGAGCAGCAGACTGACCCCTTCTCTACTCATGACCGAAGAGCCTATCTCCTACCTTCTGACACCTACCACCAACGGAAATGTCCATGTCCCCTGCTCCTATATGTCCCTTTTCTAGGACCCAATAGCCTCTAGCCTTTGCTCTGGCCTGTTAGGGGAGGTGGAAGGCCTGATCCCCATTCCTGGGCCTGAACTGCCCTTGGTCTCCTCTCATCTCCCCCCCCCCACCCCTATGGGGGTCCATACACGTGCAGCCATGAGATTGAATGAGGGGAGAATGAGGGCAGGTTGATGAATTACCGCCGGCCTTCTGTATGCATCCTGTGAGCAGTGGGTTACCAGAACTCTCTCTACATTTTCCTGGCCAGGCCCAAACTTTTGAGTCATGAACCCATTGCTTCTTACAAAACCTTGAGGCTTTTTGTGCCAACAGAGGGTGGTTCTCTCCATACGCCCAGGCCTGAACTGAGCCCCAGGGTGATGCTGGTGGAGGCTCCTAGCAGCTCGACATAGAGGCCAAAGCCCCAGTACCCTCTTTCCCTCCTCCCCAGGAGAGCAGGAAGGACAGGTCCAGGAGCCCTCAGTGTCTGTCACCAAGGAGAAGGCAGGGTGGGCAGGGAGTGGGGGCGGCTGGCAGAGTGAAAGGGGCCCCCGCGGGCAGCTGGCTCAAGGGAAGGCCCTCGCTTAGCGCCTCATGCTGGAGTAGCTGTCCGCTGAGCTGTAGCTCCGGCTCCTGCTCCGGGAGCCCAGGCTGGGGCTGCGGGAGCTGGAGCTGCTGCTCGGGCGGGTCCTGCTCCGGCTGTGGCTGTGGCTGCGGCTGTGGCTCCGGCTCCGGGAGTAGCTGTGGCTGCCCGAGCGGCTGCTGCTGCTGCTGTACCAGGAGGAGGTGCTGCTGAGGCTGCTGGGCGAGGAGGGGCTGGGCCGGTAGTAGGGGATGGGGCGTTTCCGGGCACTGCAGAGACCAGAGGGAGCTTGCATGAGGGCCAGACTCCTCCCAGCCTCGACCCAGGGAGTGCCAGCCTTGTCCCAAGGGAAAACACTATCCTTCCATTCCCCAGTCCCTCAGGAAAAAATTCTCCCTTTACACTTCTCCTGCAGTTCTGAGAACATCAGGAGGGCTCAGCCTAGTGCTGATATGTCTTGAAAGTGATAACCTCACTTTTTAAAACAGCAAGCCTGGGGCTCAGAGCCTCCAGCTGGCAACAGAATCTACATCTAAACTTTAATCATAGTTTGCTATTTTTACTTCTACTAGAACCTTCTATTTATGGCGAGAGAGATTTTCCATTTACTGTAGTGTATCAAGTTTCCTTTTGAAATAAATGTATGGACCTCTAAAAAAGGGCAAATCTATTTAAAGAAAATTAAGGAAACAATAGTATACTTAATTAAGCAGACAAGGCCAAAGTGTGGGTGACTAAAGGTCGGGAAACACTGCATGGGTTCATCATGATGGACTATTTGGGGTTGACTAAGGAAACCAGAGAGTCTTCTGGAAATGCCACTCTCTTTATCTCAGCTTTCCTCCAAGTCTGCGCCAAAGACACCTTTGCTTAAGGCAGAGGATGGAGAAGTCCCTTCCTGTGTGCCAGGCCGACGCAGGGTGTTGGGTGGGATATTGGAGAAGGTGACGCCATCACCGTGTCTTACTGTCTGGGGCACAAGTTCTTTTTCCTCCTCCAGGTCATCTCCAGGGAGGAGGCACAGGGCAGCCAGCCCCCTTCTCCCCTGCGGGTCACTGGACTGAGTGGTTGACCCTCAGAGAGGCATTGGAGGAGCCCAACTGATTATCAAGAGCCAATTTTAGGCCATCACTCAACCATTCTCCCAGCTTTCAAGGCATGAGAAATTTGTGTCCACTCAGACCTCAGGCTTCTCTTCTATGGTTTTTTTTTCTTCTGAGACCTTACCTGTTACAGGAAACCTTATCCATCTAATCTGACCATTCAGTCCATAACAGTGGTACACAGCGTGTTCTAGTGTTCTGAATTTAAGTTTATGAAGTATGTTCACATCTCTTTGAGCCCTTTCATTTCATCCTCAAGCTCCTGGAAGTTATTTCCTCTAATATTTCATGGGTGAGAACTGAGGCTCTTGGAGGTGAAGAGACTTTCCCAGGTCACTGGAAAGTGGCACAGCCAGGATTCCATTCCAAATCCAGTGCTCTCCCCTTACTCACCCGGGCTCCCTCTAAGTGTTGTGGGCACCTAAACAACCCTGTTTGCCCTCTCCACGCTTGGTTCAGGGTATAATTCCGTATGGGTCCATCAGCCTGGCATCTGACCCTGCGGGTCTGAGGGTGGAGGTCTGTCTCGACTCCCTGGCTCCACCCCTAGGCAAAGGCCCTGCCCCATGGCTTTGGCCCCCATTCCCTGGCCCAACCTCACTCTTGCCCAGACCAGTCTACGCTGCCCCAGCCCTAACCTCAGATTTCGGCCACACCAGATTCCTCAGGCTGGCCCCAGCCCTATCCCAGTCACCCCACCCTAGCCCCGCCCCACCCCGTCTTAGGCCTCGCCTCGTCCTTGCAGGCCCCGGGGGTGGGCAGGGATGCTGATTTGGCCCCGAGGTTTTGAAGAGAACATAATTTCAGAGGTTGGGGGTTAAGGATCCCGGAGCTCCCATAATCCTGAAATCCCGCCCCAAGGAGGCACGGGGAGAACCTGAGGCCGGAACAGGTGGGAAGAGGGTGGGAGTGAGGGTGGGAGTGAGGGTGGGGCGGGCCCCGGCCCCCGGGCCTGACCTGGTTATGCGCCGCGCCTCCAGGTGGCTCGGCGAGTCTCTCCGGCGCTTCCGCATGGGCGAGTAGGACCGCCGTCTCCGCCGCGCCCGCTCGCGCTCCCGCTGCTGCGAGTCCTTCTCGCCGTACTTGGGGTCCCGCTCCCTGAAGGGGGCCGGGGGGTTACTGGGGAGCTGCGGCCGGCCTGGCTCTACTGTGTGAACGCGTGGGAGGGGGGCACTCACGTCCTTACCTGTGCCCCCACCCCGCTGGGGCGGGCGATGGGGTCTGCACGGGCCCCCGGGCAGGCGGGAGGGAAGAGGACAGGGCCGTGGGGAGAGTCTGCGGGGTGAGCACTGTGGGGTGGGCCGGGCGCGTGCAGGGGGGTCAGCCTCTGAGGGTGGGCATTACGGGGCGCGGGTGTTGCGGGAGGTTATGTGATTTAGGCGGGCCCTGGTGCATGAGTAAGAATTGGGGGCCTGAATGTACGGATCAGGTGTGGTATTTGTGTGACGAGGCTGAGGCCCGAGGATGTGATTTCTGGGGTGTGGCTGTAGGAGTGTTTGGGGTGGGTATCAGGACACAAAGATTTGGGGCCTCGTTGCCACTCCAGCCAAGACCAGGGAACTACAGGAATGCTGAGTCACCTCCCCATCCCTACCCCGGCGGGGCTCGACCTACGGGGAATAGGGGCGGAGCTTGAGAGATGCTCGGCAGAGGTGACTCGGGGAGGCGGGGCCAGACAGGCAGGTCTGCGCTTAGGAGGGGGTCTGGGAGGCGGGGCCCGGCTCGAGGGGCGGGGCCAGCGCCTGGGGGCGGGGCCGTACCTGCTGGGGCTGTAGCGCGAGTAGCTGGGGCTGCGGCGGGATCGAGAGCTTCTACTAGGCGGGCTCCTCTTGCCGGACTTGGAGGAATAGCTGGGAGAGCGCGAGTAGGACCTGGAGGAGAGGAGGCCGCCCCTGAGGAGCCTGCTGAGCTCCGCCACGGTTGTCCTGGGTGTCTACCGTTTTATTCAGCTGGTCTCAGGCCTTCTTTCTGGAGGCCAGACCCTTACCGGAGAGTGACATCCCCTCCCTTTTGGGTGGTTCAACTTCCTCTTATTATATTCTTACTGTCCTGGCCGCTTATTAGCTGTGTGACCTCGGGCAGGTGATTTCACTTCTCTGGGCCTCTGTTTTCTCATCTGTAAAATGGGGGTAATTATAGTACTTACCCTATGGAGTTGTAAATTAAATGAGTAAATTAAGGTAACTCATTTAGCCTATTGTCACATAGCCAGCACACAGGAAATGTTAGCTGTGATTGTTGTGTGTTTTACTATGTGCTAGACATGGAACTAATGCTTTGTGTGCATTATCTCATGTAATCCTCTGCACATCCTAGGGTTAGGTACTATTATCAATCCCACTCGACAGATAGCGAAACAGGCACAGAGAGGGGGATGTAATTTGCTCAAGGTTACTCAGCTGGTGAGGGATTTGAACCCAGGTCTGCGTGGCTACAATGTGCTCTTGACTTCTGCTAGACTATATTGTGCATCCGAATTACTCACCCTATGCTACTTCAGGCTTCTTCCCTCTCCACTAAGGCCTCTCACTTTTAGAGAACCATGGCCTTGGTTTCTCCAGCTTCCCAGGAACATCTGCTCTTCACTCTTACCTCCCTAAAGTCAAGCTTTCAAATAATTTTCATCTCATATATGCTGACTGTGATCTACTAGTAGTGATACCAAGGTTGAGAGGGATTATAAGGCCATGTTTGTGTGCAGTGGGAAAGAGTACTGTGATGGATTAGCAATGTCTGCTATGGGCACAGGAATGGGTAGTGGAGACACTCTCTCATGTTCTGTTTTTGCCAGCTTTCCCTCACAGAAACACTAAAGTTTTCCCACCTGTTCTTTTTAACTTGAAAAGAAGGCTTGCTATGACCTGCCCTCACCTAGATGTTCCTTAGTCCCTTCCTGCTTTCCAGGTGATCTAATAACCATGCCCCTTAAATATTGCTCTGGGACTCTGTTCTTACATGCTGCTCAGGGTGACATAAGGAGTGTGGGTAAGGAATAGCTCCTCCAATCTCAGTGCCCTGGGACAGTGTCCAGTGACGGCCTCTGCAAATTTGCTCTTGCCAACTTGCTCTTTGGCTATGCATTGAGAGACATCATAAGAAAGAGTCAAGATGAAACATGCCTTTGGACACTTTGAAAGGATGTCAGTCATTTCCATCCACTACATCACATAGTGTTCCTTTTCTGTGGAATATGAGTCATTTTTCATAGACTTAAAATCAGAAATAACTGCTCTTCTGAGCAACTCGTTCAATTCTTTTTTGTTAAGAACGTATAAATTAATGGAGCAATTTCCCCTTTTGCTTTTTCTGCCAGGGAGCTCAGAGTCACATTTGCTGCCCACCTTCATAGCAACTATACAGAATGATAGGGCATACCTTTGGGACTTAACCTTTCTCTTGACTTAATTTTATTTTTCTCCTTAATTTTTCTTTTAGCCTGATTTTCTCTTCTATTTATGTCACTCTATCATATCAAATATTTCTGTCAGCTGCCTCATCTCTTTTTTTTGAATGAACTGGTCTTGAAGTAACCAACTAAGTAAGCAACTGTTTTTTGATTACACGGTTGCAAAAGAGAGGAACAGTCAGCCTGGCGTTGGAAATTCCTGTTTGTAGAGGGAAGCTGGGCTCCATGAAGCCATGGGTTGATTAGACTGGATGGAATCTTCCAGTTCCTGAGATCTCATGTCTGTGCATTCTGCTGCATCATTATTCCACATGAGAAAAATCAAGCAATTACCAGTGGTTATTGGAATTGAGTGGTAGAACGCAAGAAGGGGCATGCTTCTTTTCCCTGTATCCATGCCCCTTGCAATGTGACTTTGCAGTTCCTCCCACTAAGAGGAACACCCCTTGCATTGGATTTGTCTTGTGACTTGCTATGGCTAACAGAATGGCAGAAGGGAGGTCATGTCCCTTCCAAGCCTAGGCTTCAAGAAGCCTTGCACACTACTGCTGTCTTTTGGAACCTGGCCATCACCATGTGAACAAGCCCAGACAAGCCTGCTGGAGGATGAGAGACCACATGGAGCAGAGATGAGTCAGTGGGGGTCATCCAGGCCAGCTATAGCCCCCAGCAAACCCTCCAGCTGATGGAAGACACATGCGTGAACCCAAGAGAGAGCAGAAGAACCACCCAGCTGAGCCCAGCCCACACTGCTGATCCACAGAATCAGGAACTAAGTAAATGCTTGTTGTTTAAGGATGCTAGGTTTGGGGGTAATTTTCTATGCTGCAGAAGATAAATGATACACACAAGCACATCCTCATGCCAATAGCAACAATCATAGCTTATTCACTATGTTCTAAGTACTGATCTAAGTGCTGTATAGTCCTCAGAACAATGCTTTAGGGTAAGTATTGTTATTGTTTTCATTTTGCAGATGAGGAAACTGAGGCTCAGAGAGGTTAACTGAGGCCCAAGGCCACCAGCTAGTAATGGATAGAACAGGCATTCAAACTCAAGTCGGTCAGACTCCTCTCCCCACGGGCCAAAGGTCATCTCCAATTAACTAGCTCCCTAGGACGAAAGCACTGCAGAGCAAAGGTCAAAACTGCACTCACCTTTTCCCAGAGGAGGCGGATCTGCTCCGGGTGTACCTGGGGGAGGCCCTGGGGTTTGGGGATCTGGAGGAGTGGCTGGAGGAGCGGGTGCTGGCGTAGGAGGAGCTGCGGGAGCACCCTCGCATGGGGGAGCTCTGGGCCGTGGGTGGGACCAAACTGGACTTCTTCACCTCGGCGCATTCCAGACATGGCGACTGAAATCCTCTGCGGAGGGGGAGAACGTCTGTTAGCACTGGCCTGCCTGCTGGTCTGGGGGCGTCTCCCGCTGATACTCACCTCCCTACCTTTGCCTAGGCTGTGGTGCTCTCAGAACCCCCTCTCCGCCTTTGCCCATCTTACTACCTCTGGAAAGACTTGCCAGGCCACAGATGATAGAGAGCAGAGATAGAGTGGGACGCATACCACATGGGGCACTTGAGAATATTTTAGGTCATTGGTAAATACCATCAAATCACATGGTGAGAGACTTATTCCCTTTCGAGTCTTTTTCAGTCCTCTGATTATATTAACGAGAAAGCCCAGCTTGGGTACTAGTGGTTTTTACCATCTCTTTGACACTTGGAGTCTCCCAGTGAGAGAGAGCAGGCGTGGGGCTCAGAGCCTTAAGCAGGCAACCGTAACTAACCAGAATTAAATACACTGTGTTAATATGTATTTTTACAGGTGCCTTCTATTTAGGACAAATGATACAAATTTTCTATTTAAGATAGTACTATAAGTTTCCTTATATAAATGAGTTTATCAAAGTAAATAAAAGTACCAGTAGTACATGGATATGGTAAAAATCAAGAAGATGACAAGTAGTTGGTTTAAGTTTGGGAAATTTTGGTGTAGCCCATTTTGCAGATGGGGAAATTGAGACCCAAAGAAGGGTGGAGGCTTGTTCAAAGTCACCCAAAGGACAGCATCCTGACTTCTGTATTCCCACCCTGCCTGGATCTATGCTGGGTTCCTGTTGGGTTCTCAGTAAGGACATGTTCATTTGGATTGGGCCAAGGGTCAAGTTCAAATCATGTTAACATGGTTTTCAAGGCTCATCATGACCCGGCCTCTGCTCACCCCTCCAGCCTCAGCTCTTGGAACTGTCCTCTCTTGACTCTGGCCATAATGGACTATCTGTTCCTCCTGGAATAGCCCTGTTCCCTCCCTTGTCTCCGGGCCTTAGAACATTCCCACTCCCTGGAACCCTCTTCCCTCCCCTCTTCTCCTAACAACTACTCATGGTTCAGGCTTTAGTTTGACCTCACTTTTTCTGGGAAGCCTTCCTTGATACCCCCTAATTCTGACGAGGTGACCTCCAGTGTGTCACCACAGCCCCCAGCCCCTACGCTTCCCCTCTCCCTAGATGGCTCACTTGGTCTTATAATTGTCGTCTCCCCCAGACACTGAGCTTGGGGCCAGGACATATGTCTCTCTGGATACTGTATCCCAGCGCCTAGGACAGAGCCTGATACCTGTGCTTGGTCATCAATAAATAGCTGTGGGATAAACATCCTGAGCCTCTTAGTGTCCTGGGCACTTCATAAGCATCATCTCGTTTAGTCCTCCCAACAACCTTATGAAGCCGGCACTATTATCTCCGATTTACGGAGAAGCTTCAGAAGGGTTAGCTACTTGCTCAAGGCCACCCAGAGTCTCAAACCCTGACCTGTCCAGCTCCGAAGCCCATTCCCCTGCCACCTCACCAGCCCCCACCTTCACTGTCTCTGGTTCCCCTGATTGAGAGCTCACCTCTCTTCCACTCGGCCCTCTGCTCACAGTTGACATGACATAAATAGGCATGGATTTAAAGATCATTTATATTTCAAAGTGAAAGGCTGCGTCTAAATTATTTAATTTGGCTGTCCACAGAGATTAAATTAAGCAGGTAACTGCTAGATGCTGCTCAGGCATTAGCTCCAGTTCTGGAGACAGATCTGTGTTGGAATCCTGGTGCTGGCCCTTATTGACTGAGTTTCTTTACTCTGAGCCTCAGTTTCCCCATCAGCTAAAAAAGGGTTTTAATAGTACCTATCCCATAAAGGTTTTGTGAGGAAACCTTTATATATAAGGAAGATTATCCATGGAAAGCACTTGGCATAGGAACCTAGCATATAGTCAGGGCTTGAGAAATACTAGCAGCCATTATTATTATTGCTGTTGTTATTGTTATTCTCAGTTTTTCCTGCATAACAGCACTGCAGTATATCAGTAGACACATGTCCTCCCTCTGTCATGTGGAAACATCACTGTCTGTTCTTAGAGATATTGACTTTTGCTCTGACCCAGCCCTGGCTCCAAGCCAAGTGTGGGTGTGAACCGAGGCCAGGGATATCTGGGGCAGGCAAACCAGAGGCCAGGCCTACGTGTGAATGCCAAGCTCTCTGTCCAGGACTGAAGTGTTGGGGACAAAGGGTGCTCTGTCCTTGAAGAAGCTGTTAACTGCTTCAATGCTGAGGCTCCGGCTGTCTTTCTGGAAGCAGACTCCCACCCCCAGAAGGAAGGACCCCAGTTTTGTCGTGACTTCGTGCACCAGCAAATCTCTTCCACCCTTCCTGCATCTCTCCATCTGCCCCATTAATTATACGCTCCTGAGGACAAGGACTGTATCTTCAGCACCAGGCTGAGTGGCTGGCGTATAGGAGGTGCCTGATACGCAGCTGAGGAGAAGTAACAGGATGAATGGTCCAGAGTAAGTGATCAGCACATTTTACTAGCTATGACTGTGACATTATCCTCAGTGATGAGCATTTTGCTGTGATTTCTTGAGTGAGAGAGTAACGGAGTGATGAAGCAGAATTACAACTGGTTCATAAACAACTGCCTGGAAGGGTTTTCTGCAGGAAACTGTATCCAGTAAGTGCGTTAATATGGGCAAAAGAGTCAAGTAGTCTCAACGTTCTACGATAGCTTGATCTTCCTTTACCTAAAATTGTCCCGTGGAATATATATATAATTTAAATATACATGTTTACATTAATAAACTTTATTTTTTAGAGTAGTTTTAGGTTCACAGAAGAACTGAGTGGAAAGGACAGAGAATCCCCACGTACTCCCTATCCTCACACACACCCAGCCTCTCCCACTGTCAGCATCCCGCACCAGAGTGCTACATTTGTTACAATCAATGAACCTATCCTGACACGTCATTATCACCCAGAGTCCGTAGTTTACATTAGGGTTCACTCTTGTGAACCCAAAGGGTCTTGACAAATATATAGTATATATCCACCACTGTAGCATCATACAGAATAGTTTCACTGCCCTAAAAAATCTGTGCTCTGTCTATTCTTCCCTCCCTACCCCCCTAACCTCTGGTAACCACTGATCTTTTTACTGTCGCCATAGTTTTGCCTTTTCCAGAATGTCCTAGAGTTGGAATCATACAGTATGGAGCCTTTTCAGATGGGCTTCCTTCACTTAGTCATGAGCATTTAAGGTTCCTCCATGTCTTTTCATGTCTTGACAGCTCATTTCTTTTTAGCACTGAGTAATATTCCATTGTCTGGATGGACCACAGTTTATCTATCCACTCACCCACTGAAGGACATCTTGGTTGCTTCCAAGTTTTGGCCATTATGAATCCAGCTGCCATAAACATCCACGTGCAGGTTTTTATGTGGACGTAAATTTTGAATGCATTTGGGTAAACACCGTGGTATATTTTTAAATGACAGTGACTTAAAATGAATTTAATGTTAGACTTTCTCCTGAGAGTACTGGTAAAATTGACATCTGTTTTTGCCTGCCTAGGCTCCATCCCTACTCCTGATACCAGTACCCTGGCTTTTCCTTCAGAGAACCAGACTTCCCCCAAGTTTAATGTACGTGGGAAGATTCTACTCATTAGCCCCGATAATGGCATGTGACACATTCTAGCCAAAAGCACAGACTCCTCTGGGCCAGAGTGATTGGTCCAGGGGTGAGCAAATGGCCCAAGCTGGGCCAAGCAGAGCCAATGAGCACTTGCTCTGCTATTTTGCTGAAATTTTGGGGAAAGAGGCAGTCTGCTTCCATTGGCTGGCTAAATGGATAGCATGTTAGCTGGATGGCATATTTGCCAATGCTTTGGGAATGAAGCCAACAGAGGGGGAAGCAGAGCTGGGAAATGTAATGGGAAAGACATTACCAATGACATATTTTTGAGCCCCTGGATCCAGCTGTACCTGAAGCTGAATATCCTTGGATTTTTACAAAAATTATGCCAGTTTGAATTGAATTTTCTCTCTCCCAAAAATAAAAGACTCCTAGGTCCAGGTGGGGGGTGTGTTTTGGAGCTAGGGTGAGAGACTGAGATGGTGGAGCTAAGTGGGACCCCCTCCTCCTGCCCAGGTGCACTGACCTTGACTCTCTGCCCCTGCTGGTGGGGGAGAGATTCTCCAAAGTGGCCCCCTTGTTCTGGGGTGAGGAGGTGGTGAAGGAGTTCCCTGAATCAGAGGTGTTGCCGCTGTTGATGTCCTGGCTCTTGCTTAGGCCCCCACTGGGGCTCCCCTTCTCCTGACCCCGAGACCTGGCTGAGCCGATTTGCATGGAGGGCGGCGAGGAGGTGTCATTGCCTGAGTCATACTCCTGGGAGCGTCCTCGGGAGGTGGTGAGCGGGCTGGCTGTTTTGGTAAAGAGGTCCCCTGCAGACCCCGACCCTGTGATCTGAAAGCAAAAACACCCGTTGGACACTGCTGAGCGCCGGGCTTGCGGGCTGTGTCTAAATAACCAAGAAATGTTTACCGTCATGATGCACTGTAACGAAAGGAAAGAGAGAGGAGAGGAAAGGAGAGACGCCAAAAAACAAAAGCACAAATTCCTGAAAGATACCACAGAAAGGAGATATTGTTTTACCCCCTCCTAGGATAACTGGAAGATTTAGGTATCATGCAGAGAAAAAGCATGCGATCCAGATTAAACAAAAGAAAAAGGAAATCATACAAAATTTAATTTCTAATGAATTAACTCAAACAAAAGAGACAACTTAATCGAAAGGGGGGTGTAAACACCCTTGATCTAAAACAATAATAAAAATAAGGGAAGGGGAAAAAGAAATGGGGCTACGGGCCTGAAAAAAAATATATCCTGGAACTTAAATAAAGGAGATAAAGCCAAAATTTTAAACTGCAACCAAATCCTCAATGAATTTGACATTTTTTTCTTTTAAAGAAAAAGTTGCCTGAATAGAACCCTAAACAAATATCGCATGGGGAATAGAAATGAAATAAAGAGAAGCGTTTCATATATAGATATATATAAAGTCAGGGTCACAAAATGACACTTTTGTAGTTTTCAACTAAAGGGGAAAAGAAAGAGAGGACAAAAAAAAAGAAATGGAAGTCAAATAGTCTGACTGAAAACAAACGAAAAAAAAGCTCTCTACAGATATCTGTGTGTGTCCTTTTCCCCCTGGAGAAGGTAGCTAAGGCTCTCGAGTGGCTTCTAATAAATTCTCTCATGTCTTTGCGGATTATATCCACTTACCAAGCAAGAACTCCTCCTTTAGTAGGTAGGTAAGGTGTAAGAGAAAGGGAAGAGCGGGCAACGTGAGTCCATTGTTAGAGTCGCAAATGACAAGAAAAAACACACACCTTTCTGCACATCCTCACACTTGGCCCTGAACTCTGAGCTCTGGTTTTTCAGTGTTCTTGACAGGTGAGGCTTCCGTTCTGTTGGGGGACCTCAAGCCATCAACACTAACCTTGTCAGGCCCTGAATGCCCAAGTTGGATCAAGCAATCTTTGCTGAAATTGCAAATGGCGGCCAGAGTTTGCATCGCTCTAGGTGTCAGGATCAAGGGGACACGGGGAGGGTGTGCCTGTGACAAAGCTTTGGGAGGGGCTTGGAGATTTGGCTTTGGGGTGATTGGGAATGAGGAGAGGTCCCCAGAATCCTGTGTGGGGCTGATCTAGGACAGATGAAGGAGTAAAGGAGGTGATGGAGAGCCAGCCCTTGGGGGAAGGCAATGGCGCCTTTAGAAGCACAATGGATGGTTTTCTTTAAACGTTCAGACCAGTCTCACGGCTGGGATGACACAGTGGGTTCGGTTCTGGCCCCTGCCAACAGTACCATGCTTAGCTGTGGGCAAGAGGAACCCTGCTTGGGGCCTCTTCCAGTGAATACCATCCCCATGGAAAAATCTCGGGGACCAAGCGGGCGCTACCTGGAAACCACTTCCCCCGAGACCACTCTCTGGGTACCTGAGATCCCAGAATTCTCTGTTTAAACGACCCGAGCCCTCTTCCAGGGTCTCTGCTGGCTCATCCACGGATCTAGTCTCCGGGGATAGACCGTGCTTCAGGTGTGCACACCCCTAGGTCCAAGGGTGGCTATTGGGACAGAACTTGGACGTTCGGGCTGAGGTGTCCATGTGTGTGTATGGAAGGTCCATCATGGCATTGGTTGGTGCAAGAGGTGTGAGGAGAGAGGGAGGGGCCAGGGCCTCCAGGCAGGTTCTCCCCACACTGCCATGTTGTGGACGGGCACTCTGTGGGGTCCAAGACTCTAAATTCAAATCTGACTTTCCAGATCATTTTGAAGGTATATTTGCCAAGATAGGAGAGAACACTTCATTTGAGTTTGCTGGCTTGATTTATAAGCAGTATGTAGGCCTCCTTCTATACTCTTGGCCTGGGCCCCACAAATATTAGTGCAGAGCCTGCTTCCCCCCACTTTATGCCATGCACCTTGGGCCTAAAGGAAGGGGACTTTTGGGCTTTCTTAAGGCACCATTTTTGCCTTCTCAGCAATTGGTGATGAGGGTGAGACACAGACATGCGAACTACAAGAATAACGGATAACTCCAGCATCTCAGGATGTCAGCTCCTGGACCAGGGGGGCGGGACTTCCTTTGTGGATTCTCCCAGGAGGCCTTGTGCACAGACAAGGTGACGATCCAGCTTTATCAAGTTCTACCCAGCACAGCTGCCACTTTACCTGCTTGGTGATCTGGCTAGCTTTGCTTTGGGAGAAGGGACCTCAAAATAAGGTTGCCCAGGTGGAGTTTTCTAGAGTGAGACTTGTTTAAAAATAATGTAGAGGCCACATTCCCATTCAGCTCCTCCTTTCTATCTTCCCATTGCAGTTTGGATGGCATATCCTTCCCACCTCTGGGGGCGCAATGGTAACAAGTGTATTTCCGCCACCTCTGCAGGAAGGAGAGCATCACTCCAGGCAGCTAGATCTTGGGATCTGGGTTCTCAGTTTGGCTTGGTCCAAGGATAGACTCATGGAATCTTTCCTCAGAGATGGCGAATGTTTGGTGGCCAGTGTGTCACAAGTGAATCAGGCAACACTTCTTGGAGGGAACCAGGCTGGCAGACAACGTGAAGGGGCCTGTGAGTACCGTGGTTTCCACTATCTTGCGGCTTGCTACCTGGGGCATCCAGGCTGGCCTTTCTCTCCCCAGGGACTTGTTCCCAGCCTTGATCACTAATTTCAAAGCATTTGCTCTGGCCTATCATGGGTCCCCGTGGGCAAGGATTTCCCAAGTGTGAGGCCCCTCAGGGCTAGTGGATATAGAAGGGGACTTTCCCTCGTTCTCTTTCTCAATCCTACACCCTCAGCTCACAGGAACACTTTTAGAGTATCTCGACCATGACCATTATCCACATGTAACTTGTGTGATTAGAACTGAGAACTCTATAAGGCATCGTGGTTTTCCATCATCACCAGAAATGTTCTCATTGGGTTGACCTTGGTGCCTGAAAATACCAACCTCTCCTGCTTGTTGAAAAGTCCCGTTTCTTTGGATGAATCTAAATTCTTTGACATGGAGGACAATGTCTTTTACAACCCAGCCCTGTGTACTTCACAAACCTCATCTCTGCCACAGACCCCCACCCTGGCCCCCACAACCTTGAGCTGATCAATGAGTTTTCTTGCTTCTGCCACCACTTGTTGCTCTCCCAACCCCAGGCCATTTGCACATGCCATTTCCTCTGCTTAGAACACTCTTCCTCATTTCTTCACTTCACGTGGCTAAATTTATTCATCCTCCAGTTTATATATCACCTCCTCTAGAAAGCCTTCTCTGATCCCCAGGCCAGGATAGCACAAAACTCTCTACTTCATTCATTGATTCATTCAGTCATTCATTCATTCACTCATTCAAAAATGACTGGGTTCTGTGTGTCACAGCACTGTTACTCAGTGGGGTAATTGTGTATTTTATTGCCTGTGTCTCCATCTGGGTGGGAGCTTGTCGAAGGCAGAGGCCACGCATGACTGGCTCAGTGTTGTACCCAAGTACCCACCAGTGCCTGGCACAGAGTAGGTGCTCAGTAAATCTTGCTGAATGAACAAAGCTGCTCTACAGTCCCCTGGAAACCTGAGCTGGGAAGCCTGGGCCCACCCTAACTTAATTCATTGGTGGAGATGGTTGGGTGATCAGGCCCTGGTGGGGTCCAACTGGGTGACCGCCAGCTTTGGGAACTGGATGGATTTTTAAGGAGGGACTGGCTTCCATCATACTCAAAATAGGAAACCACAGGTGGACCCTTGGCTCAAGGTTGGGGTCTTGAGACCAGCTCAAGGCTGGGTTTGTGAGCTAGAGAGAACCTCTAGAATCAAGGTTTGGGTCAGACCCGGGGCAGAGAAGGAATATCCTCTTCAGATGCAGAACCCTTAGAGAAAGCACACTGGGGCTTGATCTATAGCTTCACAACAGCATAAGCTCCAGGCTAAGGTGAGAAGTTCCAGATCCGAGAAGCCTTCCCGATAGACAAGCTGTACTCCAGATGAGACCCTCTGCTATTCTGGGAGGTCAGGTTCAAAGATGGACTGGGTCTGGCCATTCGCACACAACAGGGCTGCAGGTCCATACAGTGACTTTGTACGGATTACAAAAAGGTGCTCCTCTTGGGTCAGGAATTAGAAAGGGGCGACCCCAGACAAATTAGGAAAAAGATACACCTTTCTCTGGGCTGAAGCATCTCCTCATCAGTATTCAAAGCTGGCTTGGCGAATGGAGGGTAGGTGGGGTTTCACTTCAAGGCCAGTCACCCTTGTACAGGGCACAACCAGCATAACGACATCCCTAGCAGGCACCGAATATGTAAATCTTCTCACTCTATTTGACCTGCTTAAAGGATGACTTTGGGGTTAGGGGAAAGAGGTGGTAGCCTGAAGACGTTCATTCCTGCTCCTTTCACCCAAACTCCATTGGGATTTGTCTTTACAAGTCTTGATGGGCTCTGTCTATATTTCCAGGTGATGCGAATATTTTAATAAACTCGTTAGAGAAGTCTGGAGAGCGTAATGGCCTCTGCCTCAGACGCCACCTTCTCCAGAGCTCTCCACCCCACACAAAGAGGAGGAAAGATACAACTGAGGGGAGCCAAAGGCAGGATGAGTGCATGTGTGTGGGGGGGAGGTGGGTGACAGCCATGATGATGCAAAGGAGACCTTCAAGCCATGGACATCGTAACGGGCAGACAACGGAGGCCTCCGTGATCTTGCCTCTGCGCTCTCATCTCTGAGTGTTTCCTTCCTAGCCGGATACTCACTCCGGCACGGAAGATGCAAACAGTTGCCCACCCGACATTGACGTGACAGGATGGCTCCCCTTTGCTCCTCCATATCTCCTCATTTAGATAATAGGCCTCTCAAAATTCGTCTTTGAAGAGCTCTTCTTCATCCATTGGGAGTTTTTCTTCGACGCCTGT